GATATAGAAGAAGAGCAAGCGCAGTTCCAAACGATCTGCAAATCCTTCCTGTCAATTCTTGGATTTGCCATCGATACGCTGACCAATCTAACTCTGCTCAGTGTATGGAAGATGAACAGATTACATCTGGACAAAGGACCAGGGATGTGATTAAGCTTTCTGCTTTTGATTAATAGCAGAGCTAGACATATTTACCATCTGGGGTAGAGAAAGATTCGGCTCTGCTCAAGAAAGGTAAGAAACACAGGAGATTAATAATATCTGAATCAGCAGAAGATGCGTAACGACTTCGCAAAAGCCTGTCTCAACATGTAAGATCTGTCTCGTGAACAAATGGCTACAATTGCTGCAGTGTATGCAAAAAATTTTCTAGTGCAACCTAGAGGGCAGAGAAAAAGAAAATGAAGGAATGTGCCATCAGCTCAAACCATGAGGAAGAAGGGGAGGATACCTATAGTGAGGGTTGCACTTGCTTTCCCTCTTTCTCAAACCTGCTTTAAGTGAACAGTCATTTCCCATCCTCTTTCTGGTCATGACAAATGTGAAGCTATCTGGACAGCGTTTACTTAAAACCTAATTGCTTTTACAGCAAATGAGGCATGAAACATATTATCAAAAAACAAGATGTCCGAAGTACAAGCTGGCATTTCATTTTCCCAGCGGAGAGTTTCTGAATGCCAGAATTGACTACAAGGCACAGCAGGAGGCTGGAAATGCGGAATTAGTGATTCTTCCTGGGGCACGGCAGTACCATGCTTGTGAGACCAAGTTTGAGACGGCAGAACAAAGTGCCTGTATAAACAACTGATGCATTGTTTTGTTTTTGAAGGTGGCTGCAAAGTCCAGAAAATTCTCCACATTTTTGGCCTTTCACCTTGGCAGAGTAGTCCATAAAACCAACACTATTCAACACTGGTGGAAAAAGAGCTATCTGATGCAGAAAAAAACACCTAAATACCACTTGTGAAAAGAAAAGCCACAAACAATGAAGTCCCCAGTGTCCCAGGAGCAGAGGTTGCTAATTAAGAGATTGGCTAATACCTGGAACAATTTAATCCCTCCTCCTCACCATCACACACTGTAGCTCTAATGTATCTTATGTGTGTATTGCATTTTATATTTTATACACCTTTTGGCATGTTTGTGAGACAGCTGCCATATTGACATGTGGACAACCAGTGACACAGTGCTGTTAGGCCAACTTTCTTACGTCCAAGGATTTCCTGGTTTTAAGGGAAATACACTACTGTCCTACTAGAAGTTCAGCCCCACTGATCTAAGTTCAACCCGCCCTTACTTATTCTCAGATGCAGCCACTTTGCTATTCTGCCTCTGCTGCAAACCTATTCCAATGGTTATGCCACTCATGCTTGTAAATGTCTCTGTTTACAGTTTAGGGGAAAAATAGGCTACAGACAGGAAGAAATCTTTGCCTCTGTACCAAACCGTATTCAGTTAGGTCTGCTGAAGGTTCCTTCCACCTCTCTCTGACTCATTGGAGACAGTACACTGAGCACAATGGACCTGATCTGATGTGAGAAATCTCCCATTCACACAGGATGCCTCTATTAGACCAGTCACTTCCCCGACAGCTATTACCTTGCTCCAATTTGCTAACCACTGATTCTGATAGAGCTATATAAAGTGCACAGCAAATAGTTTATTCCAGGGAAGCAGGCAGGGTCCAGCCTGCTCCTTCATCCCTTTCACAGCAGTGATGAAAGAATAAGTCTGCAAAATACCTAGAGCAGAAATAGCCTGAAGAGGAAAATTAAAAGACACATACAGTTATAAACCTTGACAGGTGAAAACGTTTGCTGTCAGAGAAAGATGCTGAGATGCCAAGTCAATGCCACAGGCACCAGACACTGGGGCAAAGAGAGACAAATGCAGGACATGAACTGCAGGGATTTCACAACAGAAGAGACCTGTGGCTCCACAGCCTTTGATCTATGTACCTTTGCAATGAGACATTTCATCTGGGAGTCACCTATATCCAGTGTTGGATTAACTTCTTGTTCTGTGGCTTCACCTGTCACGCAGGGTACTACAGAGATAGGCACTCAGAAACACGTACTTAGAAAACACATTAGACCGAGATAGACTTATTTAATATGAGCACTGCAATTCATCACACTGCTTGCAGCTTAATTTCAACTTGATTTCTGCAAAACAAAACCTTAACAACTAAATAAAGCTTGCACTTTCATCAAGTTTGGACTATACTAATTATTTTCTTTTGATACTGGTGAATACTGCTCTGATAAGAATCGCTCATATTTGTACCTTTTTCTAGACATGTCAGCAGGACAGTCTGGAACACATTTTCCTTTGCCAAAAAACATTAGCTACAGTCAGAGTCATTGCTTCCCACTTAAATCCCTGTCACACTTATCATTTCCCAGGACCAGGACAGCAAAGGCTTCTGGAATAGAGATAGCCTGCAAACTGTTTAAAGCCACTGCTGTTCACAATGTAAAGTATACAAGAAAAAAATTGCACAAGGTAACCTCCCAGATTTTTCTTGTGTTGCACCTGAAGGATCCCCAAGTGTGACACTACTTTGGCAAAGGTAAACAAAAATTTGGGTATTTTCATTCACATCTACTCACGCTTTCAGAAGCAGTATAGAAGACATTTAACGATGCTGTGCATTTTTGTGGTAACAACAGAAGAAAACAGAGCTAGTTTTAAACTACAAATATTTAATTCTCCTTAAGCCCATAAAGATGGGTCTAGTCTAGGAAGAAGCAGAGTATCATTTCCATTAATGTAATGATGTACCACCAGTAAGTTGCAAGGCTCTGATTATCTTCTTGTGCTACCTAAAAGAGCTAGATTAGACTTCATCTTTACATAGTAATATTAGACTGAGTGGTACCCCTCAGCTTCCTCCAGAGAAATGTTTTGAAGGAGAAACATTTTTTTTCCAAGGTTGGTTTGTTAAGAGCAAGGTGTAGAAATAGTTGTCCTCCTGCCCATATCAATGTGCCTCTGTATTCTTCATTCCAGTAGTACTGGTTCCAGTAGAGTTCTTATTCCCACTAAAATCAAATCATGAAATTCTCTTGGCTAGACTCAAATAAACCCAGGAGTGAATTATTAATTTTCTGAATTGGAATCAACATACTGCACAATGATTTTACATTAATTATTTATTTTTTAAAAAATAATATGCTAGCAAACCCTTCGGTCCCTGCATCTCCCTTCCCCCAACAAGCTCCTGAAATAAGACATATCGAGGTAGGATTAAACATTTCAGTTGTTTACCTGGTCTGCAAACGGTAACACATTGCACCTAAGCCCCTAAAATTCCACAGATCTGTAATTATACCCAGTGGACTGAAAATGAACAACTGCCACATTGCCTTTTAGCTGTGATATTACATCCCCGGATGCCATGGAGGTACTCACTCATGCTGGGCAGATTTGAAGGGGTAGAAGGCTTTGCTTTCTGCTGCCACAGGAACATTTGGAACATTATGGCAGTTTTACAAAGTAAGAGAATTTTATTTTTTTTGTTAACTTCTTTAAAAATATTTGTAATTAGAGAAATTCTTATTATTATTTTGGCACTGATCAACTGCCACGTACAATATTAGGAAAATTGAATGAATTCCCATTAATATAAAACCAACTAAAGGAAAAAATAACAGAAAACTACAAAGATCAGGGGAAATGCTCACTGAGTTACTGTGACCTTTCTTTCAGTGTCTTTTTTTCAGTGTCTGAGGCTATTTGGGGTACGAAGTTTTTCTTCCAATAAGAGAAGTTATTTTCATGCAAAGGCCCTTCTAGCTTCAGTTCAAAAGTGAGAGTTTGATTTATATCTCAAAACCATCCACTTTGCCAGGCTTCAGTAGTTTTCTCTAATGATATACCAATGATTTGTTGGATGGCTGTCCACAACATGAATGGTGTTTAGCATACAGCTTAATTGCTTCATTTATATATTCACATGTACAAGAGAACACAGCTAAGCCAAAGGAACGTCTTCACGTTTTAGTCCTCTTTTTTCATTGTCCCTCATAAACATTAAAAACTGAGAACAAGCTTGTAAGAATGGTTTTCGGCATGAGGAACAGGTGGTGGTAATGTCGGTTATGTATTCCTGCAGGGGGAAGACTGGAAGCCTGCTATAAATTATGGGAGCATTTCTGCAACTGAAAACCTTGCTTTTCATTGATGAAGCTGAGAGAGCTCTTTGATGACAAAGCCATTGGGGACCTTCAAATCATATCACATCACTAAGTTTTCTTTCTCCATTTGTCTTGGAAAAACGTTATTGCAAGCATATGTGCTTGCACATAGCACTAACAAGTGATGGTGTCCTAGAAAGAATATATATATATATATTTCTGCTTCATCACAGATTCAAGCAGAAGGGTCCCATACTCTGACACTTATCCAGGTTAAATTCCCCATATATTTATAATGGGTCAACCTCACTTAAATACATCCTATTGAACGTATGAAGCAAATAAATTAATTTTGGAATTTGGAAAAACAACTCCTAAATAATAAGTGTGATCATGACTTCTTCCTATGCATCAAGAAGTCACAAATCTATGCTCTAAATGTCTGCAGGACTCAACTCAGGAAAAGAGAAATTTCTGGGAGTATCCTTGCAGAATCACAGGCCTACATTTTCTAAATCATGCTGCCAAAGTCCTTTCCTAATCTGCAATATTTGTTCCCTGCCCTGCAAATCTTGAAGAATATCTTCCTTGGAAGAGATCCTCTCCTCCATGGAGGATCTGAGGTGGACAAAACACCACCTGCCAATTCACTGAGCAGAAAAATATTTCCTGCTCATACATTTTTATGTGGCAGCACCATCATTATGTTTCAGTAATCAGTTTTGATAGGAAAATGGAAATTCACTGGAAAATAGAAATCAGGTTCTTTTCTTTTACCTTTTTTTATCCACACAGATAGCTGCAGGGCATGGAACCACTGTTTTAGCAGTTTCTTTGGAAGTCAATTGTATCTATTTCCAATTACTCAAAATACACTCCAATTCCCAAGATGGAAATCTCAATCATAAGGAAGGTCTGTTTCTGCAGATTTAAACCTAAAACATATCTCCACCAACCTGTCCAGCAGGAGAACTCTCTGAATACTACTATCACTGACCTTTGTGCCCGGTCTGTTATCTCCTCCTCCAGATCTAGCAGGAGTGCTGCCTGAGCCATCACCTTCTTGCTGCAGGGCAGAGATTTGAGGTGCAAAATGAGCAAACCAAGGCAAAACTTGCTTCCCATTTCCTCCAGTTCTTGAGTTCCCAGCTGCAGGCCCTGATGGAGAGAGGGAGAAAATTTCAGTTGTGTGTATTTCACAAGTAGATGGAAAGGGTCAGGCTTCCTTCACAGAAGGACAACTCTTAGCATTTCTTCTTCCATTCTGAATTAGGGGTTCATTAAAGTTTGCTACATGTGGACATTTCTCCTACAAAATAATATATAAATTAAATGACAGCACTTGGTCTACAGAAGCTATTTTAAAATAGCCTCTATTTTAAAAATGGGGAAACAGAGGCAAATACTTTAACTGCCTCAACTACATTTGCAGAAGTAGTCATTGTAAGAATTAGACTCAGATCCCAGGAGGATCTGACTGTAAAACCACTTTTGCAAATCATTAAGACTCATTTTTGTTTTCTTTCTGTAGGCAGGTCATCTCCATTTTTCCTAGTGGGGAAAAAAAAAAAAAATAGGTACTCTGATTGTAAACACCAGGCAGTGCCAAAGATAAAAAAGGCAACTGTGGGGAGGGAAGATGAGGAGGGAAGAGGGGAAAAGATCTTTAACAAGCTACGAATTGTTTTTTAAGAAAAGCAATTGCAAAGAAACTGCAAAATAACACACACGTCTAAGTAATTTCTCTGTCTATTAAAAGCTGATGTCTCTCTAGCAGAGACAGAGAAGCACAAACAGGGTTTGGATTATCAACATCATCTTTCAAGGGATGGCTCCTCCAAGCTGTGGAACCTCACTTGGAAGAATTCTGATTATGGATAGCCTGTGTTTTTTCCACTAATTAAAAAAAATAAAGATCTAACAAAGAAACACACCCAGGGCCTGCATAGGAGTAAGTCAATGTGATAGATGGCAGTTTGATGCAAGCGATGAGAGGGCAGGAGACAAACAAAGCTCATACATACCAAAAAGAAACAAAGAAATTGCAAAATCCCTCATCTTTGGCACTTAGTGACCACATCACGTGTACTCCTTAGTGCTAACACATCAGGGGTTGAATCAATCACTGAACAATTGCTCCCTCTGCCAATATCAGCCCTATGCGCTTTTGCAGCACAAACCATCACTGCAGCCAACCTCCTCATGAGCTCCAGCTCCATTTTCAAGACTGTTTCCTCAGCAGCTCTCAGAAGTCCACGCTCACAGTCCTGGTGCTAGCCTTATGCATGTTGTGAGCTTCATGCCAGCATGGCCTGCACTTGACTCTCTATTAGGTATTTGTTAGTGGACATCATATGGGTAATGAAGCTGTACATGTTCTGGTAATCCATGACAGGAGGCTGAGCTCTGATCTCATGCTGATATTTTTTTTTTTTTCCTGTATAAAGTTGTTCCATTTGAAAAGTACTTTGGGATCCTTGAGTCTGAGCAGCTCTGTAGAGCTGAAAGATTATTTATGAGACAAAACACACGCAAGTGGATGGAAAAAGAGATTTCTCACATAAACTCCTGCAGCTCTCCTGTAGAGATTTTTTTTGTGCATTTTTGTTAGAGGACACAAGCTACTTGGACAGGGTGAAAACCACCACTTCATCTCTAGTGAGTCTAGTAGATATGAATATCATATGGCATTACAAAACCCTATCTGATAACAAATACATTTCCTACATTAAAGACGACATAATTCTGTTTCCTTCCTGAGATTCCATGAGTGAAGCATGAATCTATAATTATGATGATGAACATGAGCAACACAAAATAATACAGAGCTCAAACATATACAGAATAGCCAGACAACTCGATAAGCAAAGGACCTGCCTAGGAGAGCACACAGACAATCTGAGAAAACATATCCTCAGTGCTAGTCACAGTCTAAGTTCTCTGGAAATTTGACTTCTGCTCTCAAAACTGTCTCTTTAATTATTCTTATCACAGTGGACAAATCTCTGACACTGTTTCTTCTCTCCGTGCTATTCACCTCCACTGCAAGCTTTGCCAAGCAAGATCCAGATACAATGAACTATAGTAATAATTAATAATAGTAAGAAAACAGAGGGAGAGGCTTATGGGAACCAAGGGTCATTAATGCAAAACAAGGAGAGTGCTTAGCAGTTCTGCATAGATTCCTAAATGTTTTACTATTTTACCTAAGATATTTTAGTGTGGCAGAGTTACAATCGGCAGGCAGAAGTGACATTTCTGAACAAAAATATGTCATTTCTACAGCAAAAGAGTTATCTTCTCAGGGGCAAAAAATACAAAGAACATCTCACAGGTTTCCCTGGGGTGCATCTCAGGGTCTTGCTTCCAAGATCAAGGCAACATACTAAATACCTATCAATCCAGGAGATGCGAATAGTGAGTGTGCTAAAACTCAGCCTGTGGCTTTATGATTCCCTGGAGCTTTATTCAGGATATGAAGAGGCCTTAAGAAACTATGAGCAGAGAAATAATAAAAATAAAACTATAATATACCTCAGAACCCTCAGACAGTAATTGCTCATGCACTGAAGTTAGCTGCTGTATGATGGAACCGTATTGCTTTGATACCAGACAGCTCAAGAGTAACAGCTGGAAACCTCAGCTAGAGGATTACTTGTTAACATACTTTATTCACTTCAAACACAGGCAGACTTTTATTTTTTAACTGGGATAATTCTCTCCTCCTCCTTCCTCCCTCCTCAGCTCTCAGCAGACGGTGGAGCTGGAGGTGCATAGCATAACTACCATTAAATTGAAGCTGTTGACAGAACTGACATATCAAACTAATGTTGTTGATGACATCTGCCAGCAATGCCAGGAGCTGGTGTAGTGGTTAATAATCAGTCCCACTTGCATTGCTGAAAGGGAAACCTTGTCTCCAGGCAATTCCCTTGTAGCTGTGCAGCACACACAGTTGTAAAAATTTTGAGACTGTGCTTACAACTCAAGAGTTGTGAAAATATTTCACAAGAAATGAAAGAAAGAAGGATAGAACAGTAAAAGTGGTGCACCTTGGTTTGGTTAAGAAGCTGGTAGGAAGCACAACTCCACGGCAGCAAAGCTGTCTTGCTTTTACACGTAGCAACAGTATATGGTCTGTTTGTCCCAGCTGTACAGGAGGAAGCTGCTCTGCCTGTCAGCACCTCCCCTGAAGTGTCCTGCCAGTCTGGATTCTCAGTGACCCCATCTTTCTCTCTAGCACAATGCTTTACAGCTCGGTTCTCCTTTGGGCATGTTCATGTGAACAATGGAGCATAGTGCAGTCTTCCAATATAGCAGAATCTAAGCAAATTCTGAAACAGGAAACTGTATTGCTGCACGAGAAAGTTACAGACAAGTTCATCAGTCCTAATTAGTCCAGCCTTAGAAACATGCTAACAAAATTATCCTGCTTTGATGATCAGCTCACATCTCTGCACAGTTTCTGCTCTCTGCTACATGAAGGTACCAGTCTGGACCAGCATCAACTTGATGCATCACACTCCACTGTGCAATACAAATTGGTCCCATGGGCCCCATCTTTTGCAGACATCATGTTAAAGGATTACAGGTTAATTGTTTCCTGGCTATTATAGAGAATAATGGAGTTAAACAACTTTTCCTAATATTTTTTCACATTTTCATACTGCAACAGACAATATGGGACGAGGTGACACTTAATAGGAGTCCAAGTTTTGGAAACGTTTATTTTTCATGGGAAGAAACAAATTCCAGAGGTAGGTGACATGGCCAATCAGATGAAAAAATCAGACACTTAGTCTATTGACTCTTAATCTAGATAAACCAATTAATTTCTTGCCTTTTCTGCCAAAACTGTTGCTAGCATAACTGCTGGGATAGCAGGATGCTCCCCTACATCCCCTAATTGGCACTATCTCTGTAATAGGAAACTGGGGAGCTGGAAAAAAAAGCTATTCCTTGACTTATTGTTAGGGCAGGATGTTGTCAATACACATTTTCCTAAACAAAATTGATCAAATCATGCTAGAAAAACAGTTCATTCATACTCAGCACCGATGCATCAAATAAATACCCACAACTAAATGTTTCCAATATCTCTCAACTTGCCCTCAAAATACTTTGCAAGCTAAATGACAGTGCAATGGAAAAACTGTTATTCATTACTCATATGCTTTAAATACTCCCACAGCCAAAGGCAGCAATAGTTTCATAAGACAGATATTGTTGAAGAAGGTGGAAGGACTCCAGAAGTTAAATTAGAAATTTATCCACAAGGGTAACTAGAGCTTACAGTAAAATTAGAGTTGGAAGATACTAATAAACACAAGTAGACAGGAAATTTCAGAGGGAAAAATTTTTTCCTAAAAGGGAACTTTGGCATGCAGCACAGCCACTTCAGTGGCCTCTCCCACTTTTGGTCACTGCTCAATAGTTGGGGCAACAGCTTTTACCTGCAAACTTGCTTCCAGTCAATACAGACACACTTACAGAATATTCTCTGCATCTCAATAGCTTTACACATGCACAATGGTTATGCCCTAAGGCTGGATATAAATAAATTGACAGTCTGGTTTCTCACTAATTCCACCAGTGAGCTCTCCCTCAGAATACTAATAGAAACCATTTGAGGGCTCTAGATGGTAAACCAGGGAGCTGAATGAAACATTTGGTGCCTGGCGTCTGCAGCTTTCAGCTTGGGCCAGCCCTGAAAATTACTGTCCTTTCGACCCCTGTGAATTAAAGGATGCAGGCACATGCTGGGGAACTGGCTATTTAGACAACTAGGACAGCAGGGAATAAGCCAAGTTTTCTCATGTCCCACAGATCCCTAAGCAGTAGGTATGGCATGCAAAAGAGATGAAGTGGAGGGGATGGGAGTGTGGACCAGAAGATTTCAAGATGATTAAGCAAGTGGAAGAGGCTGAAGATACAAGAAAAATATAGGCTAACAGGAATTTCTAGATAGAATTATGAGAAGGGCTGGAGTTAGAGACAGAAGATAAAAAGATGGGAGAGATAAAAGGATGAGAAAGAAGGAGGGGTTGTTGAGGTCATAGGACGCTTATACAGAGAAATGATAACAAGAAGAAAGCTAATGGAAACTTCTACCCCTTTCTTATCCTTGGAGAGATGCGCCTCTCTCTGAATGTCTGTCC